GTGAGATTATGCATGTACAAAAGTAGGGGTGTGCAATGTCTCAGATTTGATTTCAAAAAGATGCTTCTGAACATGTACAGTACAAATGTAGTACTGTCTGCCACTATTTAAAAAAACTGCCTCTTTTCCAGGGGTGAAATGCTCCCGGTTCAGACCGGCTCAGGCGAGTAGGTAGCGATGGTGGCGGGCAGTTCGGAGAACCGCTAGCAAAAATCCCTGCCCCCGCCCCCTATGCCCAGCTGAGCCACGTGATCATCAGAGCCTTTTTTTTCCCCTTTAAATGGCTCTGACGAGCCAAGCTCGGACGATCCCAGCTGAGTTGCCTGCTAACTAGCAAAAATCCCTCTGCCCCCACCCCCCGCCCTCCAGCCTCCAGTTTGCTTACCTTAGTTGCTGGTCGCAACGCCTGCCTTGCTTCACTTGCTGTAATACTTGCAATCCATTGCAGCAGCAAGCAACTGAATCTCCCTGCCTGCAATCAAGCTCATCGGTGAGCAGCTCTATCTGCCTGCCTGCCTTTCTGCCTGCCTTGTACCTTCTTATTGCAGGGGTCTCCAACCTTGGCAACTTTAAGACTTGTGGACTTCAACTCCCAGCAAAGCTGGCTGAGGAATTCTGGGAGTTGAAGTCCACAAGTCTTAAAGTTGCCAAGGTTGGAGACCCCTGTTCTATTGGGTAAGTTTTTTTCCCCTTTGGGAGCTTTAAAAAAAATAGTTAATTGGGATTTTTTTTAGTTGTTCTTTTTTTAGACCTAGCCATTTAAAGTTTAGGAAGTTTTAAATTTATCTGCGTTTATATAAAAATAAAAATAAATTAAAATAAAATATTTGTGCAGCTTTCTGAGATTTAGTGTGTTTCTGTAGTGTTTCACTCTAACTACACAAACACACAAAATCTCACAAAGTTGTATGTGGAATTTTGTGTGTGTAAAGTGTGAAAGTTGGTTTTTTGGGCTTTTTGTGGCTGTGTGAGGTTCCTGCTTGTTGCAGGGGCCATTTTGGGTCTAGCACAGCTGCTTTTACATTGTGGGTGAGCCAGTTGTGTTGTGTTGTGTTGTGTTTTGTAGGTTAAAAAAGGGCAAAGAAGTCACATTGACTTGGCCACGCCCATCCAGTCACCTTACCACCAAACCCCGCCCACTAATTAAGCCCCGCCCACAGAACCGGTAGCAGAAAATTTTAGATTTCACCCCTGTTCTTTTCTGATCCTGGGATGCTTTCAGGAATTGCAGGCAGGTACTATATTTACATTCCCCTTGCTTTGAATTCCCTTTGTGACTTCAGAAGTGCTGAGGCAGCCCTAATAATCAGTGTGTTGGTGCATGCAAATCAGTAAAACTGATAACTTCCATTTTGTCAGCTACAGGTAACATAAAAATTAATGGTTACTTTTACAGGGCAGAAGATGCCATCCTTCATATATAAAACAAAAGATCTTTGTGCCTGGATCTCAAAAGCTGTCTCTTTTCTTTCCCTGTGTGGGCCTAGGTTGCGCAGACCTATGTCTACTTTCTACTGTTCGGTAACTGGGAAATGAAGAGGACAATGGCAGCTCTTAATAATGGTTGCTCCCTCCTAAAATATTTTTCCATGCCCCTTGAACTATAATATAGAGGTATTATTTTAATGTGTTTGCCTTCAAGTCAGTTTTTGAGTCATGGTGACTGACCGAATAAATTCCTGCAGCTTTCTTGGCAAGATTTCAGAAGCTTGCCATTGCCTACTTCTTACGTTGAGCGAGAGGGACTGGCCCAAAGTCCCCCAGCTGGCTTTGTCTATGGCAGAACTAGAACTCACAGTCTTCTGGTTTATAGCTTGTTGCCTTAACCGCTACTCCAAATTGGCTTTCATAATTGTAATAGTACTCTGTTTATCTGGCATACTTTCCTACATTCAACAGCAGCATTTCACATTAAGTAGTATGTTAATAGCATCGGTTAAAATACTACGTTGAGGCAGTAGAGGCAGGGTCAAAATATCAGTCATATAAGATTACAGGGTGATTTGGGGGCAAATGTTTTCTCACAGCCCAACCTATCTCTAGGGATTATTGTTGAAGTTGGGGCGGGGGGGAAGCAAGAGGGAGACTATGTATACAGTATTAAACTCCTGAATGAAAGGCTAGATATAATTGATTAATTAATTAATTAATTAGCTACCTAGCTAGTCACACTAGGCCTTCTTGATTGACAGGTTAGTAATCCACCTCCAAATTATGGTGCTTTAAATGAGAACATAACTTTGTTCAGCAAGTCCTGCTGGACAAAGATCTACCGTCTGTACTGAAGTTCAGACTGCAGTTATCAAACAGGATGCATTGCTCTATTTGAGGGAGGGGAAGAGGAAGGAGAAAGGGAAGCGGAAGGGAAGGGAAGGGAAGGGATTCATCTATAGTGGAGGCCAGAAATTTCTCTGCTTCCTTGAATTACATATGTTAGACACAGTTCTCTCCCTAAAATCAAATAGAAAAGCCCTTAGTAATGCTATACAGTATATAACTACCTGCCCCCACTTTATTTCAGGGCCATTCTTGAGGCTTTCTTTCAACAAGGACAGGGCAGAAGAACCTCCTAGCTCATTCAGTCCCTCTAAGAAAGACCACTATCTATAGTTTTAATGTCAAGATTTTAACCCAACATTCAAAATGGTATCAACCAATGTCACTGCAAGTGTGGATTCTTTCTTAACCAACCAAACATGTAAGATTAAAGCATAAAAGGGAAAGTTACCAGGCAGAATTAAAACTCCCAACACTTCAGCTTGATTTAAGTTCTTGAATATGACAACAATCTGCCATGTCATTTAAACTTAGCCCTCAGCTGCTATGGTGCAATGTTTGTGTGCCATAGCAGCGCCTTTGTTGCTGTGCTTTAGATTAGCCTCCCAGTGTGATGTATGAACAGGAGTTGGGATTTAAGCAAACACAGATATGTATGTGCAAAGGCTGAAGATTTTTTTCTTGGCTCCTTCCGCATCAACACAATTAAACGATGCCTAAATCTAGCTGTTCGGCCACCTGCTCCACAACCTAGCTAAGAAGCTGAGGAAATCTATGTCAGGGTGGATGAATGCACTCCAACTTGGCTTCATTAAGCCGTCTGGGTGGTGAGTGATTAAAAGGAGATGCTGATACCCCCTCCGGCTGCATTCCGCACTGACTACGCAGCAGCCTCCGATCCACCCCCGTCTCCTGGCCAGCAAGTGCGGAAGTGGGGAATTTCCTGGCACCAGATGCGGAACAGGAAAGCGGAAATGAAAACAGCAGCAAGCCAAAATAGATTGGGGATGGGAAGAAGGGGTGGGTGGGCGCTTGTCTCTTAAAGGCACAGGATTATCCATAGGCCAGAAAGGAAATACATTTATTGAAAACAGATGGGCGAGTATTCAGGCAGGGACATGATTTCTCTTTGCTTTCCCTCACCCCCCACCGCCATCCACATATTAATAGCAACCCGTCTTGCCCCATAACATAGTTTCCCCCCCCCTTTCATTAGCCCATTCAAAACATTACACTGCATGGGAGCAATTTAGGACAAGACTGTAGGTGGCCTCTGGCGGTACAGAAAGAAAAACAATGCATCACACAGCTTTTCTTTTTGAACAAAATGCCAATTCCTAGCTCTGTCAACACAATGCATGCTGTGAGAATTATCACCACCCCACCCATATACAAGCCTCACAAAGTTGAAAAAATATGCTCAGTTGTCCTTGAGAACTGTGAGCATAATAGAGCTCTAAAGAATTTACCTCCTTTTCTTCTTGCTGAGACACTTTTAGTAGTCTGAAAGGAGGAAATGCTCATTTCCCAAGCGACAGAGGCAATCAGCATTTGTGACAATGCGGTGACTGGCTGAAGTCAGTTAGCATTCCAGAATGAATCGGTATTAAAATGGATCTGAATAAAAATCCTCAAGAAAGAAGAAAGCACACAGTATCTAGCTGAACTTAAATTCTCAGAAATTTTTTTGCAGATGTGCTCAATATAATCTAATTTTGTTCCTTATGATCTGTTATCAATTTATAGGATAATAAATAACAGACAGTCCTCCCCGTTCCTCACAAATTCAAGCCAGGCTTCCTTCCTACTAGATGCCAGACCATGTCCATCCTGATATGTACCCCTTTCCTCAATATCCCAGCTGTGCCATTTCCTCAGGCTATTTAGCGTTGTCTGAAAGTAGGAAAGCTGCAGGCAGGGAGTGGGAAGGGGAAAGAGAGAGATGGGAGTACTCATGAATCACCAGATGCAATCCAGTCTTTGGAAGTTAGCCAAAGAACACTGCTTTGAAGCAACCAAAAAGCCTAAAGCCGTCACTCTATCACTTATTAATTGTTCATTCTTGTTTGAGTAAAAAAAGATAAAAATACTATTGAGTCCATGAGTAAAGGTGGTTCCAATTAATTTTTCAGAAATTAAGAGTGTTGTGGCCTCTTCATTCTATGCCTGTTCTCTAATACAAATTTGAACCCTTTTATACAGGAGAATGCTGTTAAACTATAGTACACAGATTAAATGTCCCTACAAAAATGTAGTAGTACTGCATTGCGAATGAATACAATTCTCTCTGGATTCATCCAATTCTTGATATAACTGAGGGTACCTTTTTAAAATTGTACTTGGAAAGATCCTTGTCTCATATACTTCATAGATAATAGTGCTAGAAATCAAAAACTAGTACATGCCTCTGCAACACGCTATTTTGATTAAAAGCTATGAGGAAAGCTGCCTACTTCTATAGATACAAAAAGCTTTATATTTCCCAAGACATTATTTCTGTTGTATGCTAATTAGCTACAAGTAACAATTTTTAAAATATATTTATTGATGATAAACTTATTCCTGGACCACACTGATTCTTTTTTCTATGGAGCAATCCCTCCTAATAGTCCAAGGAATACACTGAGAATGCTTTGTTTATATTGGTTTGGCTCAGAGTTATACTGGCAATCAAATAAGAGGCATTCTTAACATGTTAAGAAAACTTGGCAAGATAGCCAATGTATATTTAACAATCATTACTTTATTGATATAGCAAAGTAAACATTCCCAATGTGTTGCAATGGTATACCTGTGCAATTAAATTTATGTTGTATAAGAAAACCTTCTACTCTGAACAGGATAACCCAACTACTTGGGAAGATGAGTTTTAAAGGAAAGTGTTATTTTTTTCACCAAGGAGGAGACATGGGCTGAGGATTTTGAAGATAGGACATCACTACAGCAGAAATAGACAACCTGAAAAAAAAGAATAGTGACAGAATTAATGTAGAATCCTTAACATTTTATCCACAGTAATATCAATATTAATTACAATTATCCCAGCTTTCCAAAATAGGTAATCAAATTAAAAAATATATTTGCTCAGGAATATGTATTTGACATCAGTCTAAATTTATTTCTTGCAGGTGTTTTCCTCAGCAATAATTAGCAAAGGAGAAACTAAATGAACACTTCTTGTACTCGAAGCCTCAACTATTTGCCTAATAGTAGCGGCTCACAAAACAAATACCTTTCCAAATTAATAATTTGGTCTCTGTGCGAGCTGCACTGGCTCCCGGTGGTCTTCTGGGTGCACTTCAAGGTATTGGTTACCACCTTTAGAGCGCTCCATGGCTTAGGACCCGGGTATTTATGAGCCCACCTTCTGCCACCGATAGCCTCCCACCGACCAGTACGCTCCCACAGAGAGGGGCTCCTCAGGGTGCCGTCGGTAAAACAATGCCGACTGGCAGCCCCCAGGGGGAGAGCCTTCTCTGTGGGGGCACCTATCCTCTGGAATGAGCTGCCCCCGGAGATACGGCAGATCCTGTATCTTTGCACCTTTCGCCATGCCCTAAAGACGTTTCTATTCCAACAAGCCGGGCTGGCCTAATTTTTAAAATTGTTTTAATTTTAAATTGTTTAATTATGGGTCTTAATACAGGGGTGCTTTTAATTGTGGGCCAAATTAATTTAATTGGATTTTAATACTGTTTTTAAATTTTGTATTTCTTGTGTTTTATCTGTTGGCTGTTCACCGCCCCGAGTCCTTTGGGAGAAGGGCGGTATATAAATATAAATAAATAAGTTAAATTTAGAATCATTAGCCATTACTGAAAGTTACTGGATGATTTTTGTTGGCAGAAAAGAACTGAAACTTTAGAATTTAATCAAGAAAATAAGAGCTTTTGTGAGAAAAGAATAACATGTATCTACAAATATTTTCTTGTTAGATGTAAGCATTATAATCCTAAAAAGAACAGAAAAGACTGAAAAAGAGAAGGTCAATGAGCAAGAAGACAAACTAGAAAAGGAGAATGCAAGTTTATTACTTAATCTGTTGACACAAATAGAGAAAGAGGGAATCTAGGATAAAATCTTTTTAAAAATGCAAAAATCTAGCATTTCCACATTCATTGAAACCCCACAGAGTTTGAAAACTGTAACAGAGAATTGCTTCCACAATATAAAAATCTGAGGTAAACACCATATTTATTAGAAAGGAAGATGATCACATAGGCATCTGCTAATAGCTCCAATAATGAAAATAATATGACTGCAGGAACATGAGGCAATACCTGCCCCTTGTAATTCTGACATCAGACAGATGTATTTAAGCCATAGGGTTGCATTGTAATATCCTGATGTATGTTTCTACAGTCACTTTCCTCCAGGAACTCTTATGAATGATCTCCAATTCAAGGCAATCCCACTCCCTCCTCAAAAAAGAAAGAGTAAAGAGAGGGAAAACTCCATAAATAAAAAATCCCATGTACTGTCCAACTTCATAGTCTTGTAAACCCAAGACTTGCAACCAGTCCTGGAGATTTACTTCTCTCAATAAATTTGTGCATGAGTTAGCTTGTGTATTATGTAGAAACATATAAAAATTCCATAAAAGAACAAAACAACAAAAATACAGTAACTATTGATTAAAATTGCCAGTCACACTTTATAATAATTGATTCCTATCTGTACATACATAAACATACAATACTTATACACAGAAAACTTCCTCATACAAAAATAGGAGTACAAACATTTTTTCAATAAAATAGCAAAAAGAAGAAGAAAAATGGAAATACAGGTAGGTCTTAGTTGCATTGTGAAGGGAAGAGAAGAAAAATGATTGAAGGAAACTGAATAAGGATGAAATAAGAATTTATTAAGCAGGGGAAAAATAAAAAGCAGCTCTGTTAAGGCTTCACAAAGACTTTAAATTCAATAAGCAAGTTGAGTCTCCCAAATAATCTAATTTTCAAAAGCATTGATATTTTCAAGCATTTCCTCACTGTAGATGTAAACATGAAAATGTCTGGAGATCAGATCACTGAGGTGACCTGGAGTTTCGGGTGATTTTTAATCTTAGGCTACTGTTCTCCACATGTAGAATGTGTATGTCTGTAGTGAGGCAAAGGAATATGCTATTATTGCTTTCTCTCCATGGATGAACTCCAGATCCATTTTTCTAGAGACCTTTTTTACAGTCAGGTAACTTACTATTCCATTTCAATAGTGTCTGTTTTTAAAGTAACTTCTATTCCATAAATATAACATCCATCTCAATTCCAATGAAAGGATCCTTTGAAAAGCCTAACAATGAGGCAGATTTGTCTTAATCGGTCACATACATGGTAGAGAAAAGAGGCAAAATGGAGATGCTCAGGCAACAGAAGTTAATAAAAGTTTACCACAAAAGCTAGTCTTCTAGATTCCATTATTTGCCAATGTTTATCGGTGGGTGATGTACCCCATTGTTGTTAACGAGTATAAACTCAGCAGAAAGGAGGAAGAGAAGGCAGCTTCAATTATTAATCTACCATGAAGCATCAAGGCTTCACTTTGATGAGAAGTGAAACAGCTTTTACTTTAAAGATAAGTATTATAAAATGAGTCACTATCAGAGGGAAAACTACTCAAATCAAAAGAAAAACAAGAATCAGTAAACTTTTGGACTAGTAGGCATATTTGGAATTTGGAGAACTTTGCAATTAGCATTCCTGAGAAAGTATTTCCAGGGCAAGACCTATGTATTCAGAAATGAATACCATAGCAAATCAGACATAATACAAGTCTGAAAGAAGTAAAAACACGGCTTACATGAAACTGCTCATCATCTGTTTGGTGTCTTCTGAGCTCCTAGAGTTGGCAAAACTGATAAATGAGCAGTAGACAGCAATCCAAGCACACCATTTTAACTGCAAACACCATGGAAAAATATGATGAGAACCTCATGGAGTCACAGATACACCAGTTATTAAAGTTTAATAATATTATAAATATTCCACTTTGTTTTTCCTATGAGTTCAGGAACAGTTAAAAAAATTAATAAATATTGCTAAAGCATAATCATGATGTTAAATACATATAGACAAAAATAAAGCCATATTAATGAACTCAGACTTTTTCAGTTGCTTCTACTGAATTAAATGCCATTATCAATGAGAAATATAAACTGAAAATTCTAATTTCAAAAGAAATATATGACATATGAAGTTGTGTGGTTTAATAATTTTAAGAAAAATATATATGTTGAGAATTAGTACTGCAGAACATCTAAGGAAGACTTGAAAAAGATATCAGTAGTTATTCAACATTTTATTAACACATTCAGAAAGAGATCACTTTGGAACAACCAGGACGTGGATGACTGAGAATCATTACAGACATTCAGATAGAGATTCTATTATTTGTGAAAACCACAATATAGATTTCAATACACTGTTATTACAATGTAGGTCTTTATGGATTTTTCCTAAACTTTGTATAGTGTCACCTCAAATAGAAACTCATGCAAAGTGCTCTCTCTCTCCCTCTCCCTCCCTCCCTCTCTCTCTTAAGATTATTTTAGCAGTAGTTAAAAGATTTCATATTAAAGGTATGGACTATTGTTATGTGAATAATGCCTTGGCCCTCTGTAAAAAGAAAAATGCTGATGATTGAGGATCAAATAAATGACATTGAGGCTTAAATTTATCTCATAATTAAACTGAATTTCTATATATATTAACCTGATGATAGCTTCTCAATTACATAACCGTAATTGCTATTTCATACAGGCCATCCATTCAGAGCATACAGTTGAATTACTATTAATGTATCTGTCTCTTAATACTAAGAAGAGATCTGATATAATTAAACTCTTAGATATTTTAATCTAGAATTGAGATCTGAATGAGTTGTTGTAAAGTAATTGACATATATTTTCAAAAACATTTATATATGATGGTACTATTACCAGTAATGGGTATTATCACTTTTACACAGAAGACACGTTATCCTCTAGGCACAATTCAGATCCCTTAGGGAGAATCAAACTGAAATTAATGAAAAGAGCCTTGCACAGGATATATCTTTATATCTTTTCTGTAGCATGGATATATAGCAAAGCATTCCTCTAATGAAAGGAATTTCATTTTAACCATTCTATCATCTATAATGCTCCACAATGCTTATGCAGATTTTAAAGTCAGTTTTGATTTCTTCTGGAATAATTTACACTAATACATCTTAAACAGCCTATGTAAATTTAGCTAAAACTGTTAAAAATAAAGTCCAAATTAATATGAATTGAAACATTAAGCTATTAATTTATTGCTGAAAGTTAAATAGTAACTAGTCAGCCTTTGAAAGTTGGCAGAAAAGTTTCTGAGAAGTACTGTGTAATTAATCCAATTCAACACTGAAAAGAAAGAAAACTGGAGTTACAAGGAATAATCCAGATTTTATTGCAAAATGCTAGAACTATACTATCCAATAGCAATTCAGTAATTGTATCATAATATGTAAGTAGTAAAACATTTTACTTGATTTGTTCAGTTAGTGCTTGATGTCTTTTGGTCAAAACCTGGGTATTCTAATACTCACTTTTAGCATTAAGCCACACATGCTGAAAATCATCCCTAGCAAATTCATATAATCTGGTGTAGGATCTTCTAAAGTAGGGTTGTTTTCTGTAGTTGGAGGTTTGTATCTGCAAATAAAAATTCATTATAAGGAAAAGCAAAAGTATTACATTATATTCAAACCCAAAACAAATATTTCTAGCAACAATTCTGAACTGATGAGGAAAACATAAACATACTTTTCCTGCAAAAAATAAAACTTTCATACAAGTTCAAAGTCAACAGCTCGAAAAAAGAAATGGTATCAATATTTAGTATTTTTCCCCAAGTGATACTTCAGCACACTACAGAAAGCTCTCTCTAAATTTTAATAAAGAATATTCTGTTTCAACCACTTCAAATAATAAAGACCAAACAATAGGAGAAGAGTCTTGTTTTAATATGGACAAAAAAGAAAAGGATTATGAGAAACTCTGTAAATTAAATTCTATAAAATTTGTGTACAGGTAGTCTTTGAGAGCCAGTTTGGTGTAATGATTAAGGCATCAGACTAGAAACTAGGAGACCATGAGTTTCAGTCCTGCCTTAGGCATAAAGTCGGCTGGGTTACCTTGGTCTAGACATTTTTCTTAACCCTAAGAAGGAGGCAATGGTAAACCACTTCTGAAAATCCTTGCCAAGAAAACTGTAGGGACTTTTCCAGGCAATCTCCAAGAATCAAACATGATTGAATGGAAGGAAAAAATAAAAAATAAATTCTTATTTAGCGATTGCCTTGTTTAGTGACCATCATAGTTACAACAGTGATGAAAAAGTAACTTCACAAATCCTCACATTTATGATCCTCACAGGTCTGTAAATAAAGGAAAGCTGGAGTAAGAATATAAACATAGTTGCAGTTTCACTTAGTGACCACTTCTCTTAATGATAGACTTGCTGGTCCCAGTTCTGGTTCTTAAAGTGTAATCTAGTATATTAAATAGAATAATAAAAATGATTACTGGTTAACTGTTCAATATGTAAGGCTCACACAGGTAGCACTTAGATTAAGGCAGCAATTAGGACCAAGATTGCCTTCACTAAGTGTTGTGGATGTAAAACATATTACCAGATTGCATTGTTTAATGATGGCAATCCTGGCAGTCCCGGTTTCTGTTGTAATCCCTGGAGTGAGAAGAGGTAGGAGTCCCAAGTAAGGAGCACAGGAGGAATTGCACAGGTGCCACAGGGGCTCTGAGAGCACTAAGAAGCACAAGCAGGTTAGTGTGGGCCTGAGAGGCTGAAGAGGGCCAGCAAAGGTGCTGCAACAGGCATGATCTACAGAGTGCAGGTGGGCTGGGTGTACTATAGAATACGAGATCTCTGGGATCTCGTAGTCCATAATGAACTCCTCTGGGGAAAAAAAGCAGAAAAAGTGACTTACTGGAGTGACTTGCAACCTTCCCTGCCAGTTTTCCACTGATAGTTTGTTCAAAACCGGCATGATAGTCCGCAAATGGCAATCACATGATGTGTCCTGCTGTGATGTCATAATTGTGAGCTGGGCATCCAAGCTCCCAGATAGTTATCAGACAACCAAATGGATCCTGCAACAGCTGGAATTTCAAGGGCTGATTGTAAGTCTGTAGTTTCAGTGGGTTCAGCATCACTGTATCTTTGAATGGTTAATGAACACATGAATGCAAGCCAAGTACTATCTGTGTAGGCAAAGCTAACAGCTGGAACTTCAAGGGCTGGTTGTAAGTTTGTGGTGTAGTTTTTCAGTACCACTGTAACTTTGAATGGTCACTGAATGAATGGACATAAACCAAAGACTATCCATGTAGGCAAAACTAACATTTAAGGGCCAGAAATCAAGATTAATTATCTCTTTTTATTGGATTCCTTTGACCAAAGGGGCAAAGTAAAAACCATACAAAAGATATAGGGCTGTTTTCTATTCTTTCTTCTTACTATATTGGCCTATTTAGTTTGTTGTATGCCCTGGACATCTCATGGGTGGTTCAAAAGTTTGCTCAACAGAATAGAGTAAAAGCAGCAGTATACATTATTCCTTAAGCATAAACATCTCAATGCTAGATTGGGATTCCTTGTGCACAGTCACTTATGCCTTCGTCATCTCTTGCCTGGACTACGGCAATGCTCTCTACATGGGGCTCCCCTTGAAGAGCACCCAGAGACTCCAGCTGGTCCAGAATGCGGCCGCGCGGGTAGTTACGGGAACTGCATGGCGCTCCCACATAACACCTCTCCTGCGTGAGCTGCACTGGCTCCCAGTGGTTTTCCGGGTGCGCTTCAAGGTGTTGGTTATCATCTTTAAAGCGCTCCATGGCATAGGACCTGGATATCTTCGAGACCGCCTGCTGCCACCAATGGCCTCCCACCGACCTGTGCGCTCCCACAGAGAGGGCCTCCTCAGGGTGCCATCGGCCAAACACTGTAGACTGGTGGCCCCCAGATGGAGGGCCTTCTCTGTGGGGGCACCTGCCCTCTGGAATCAACTGCCCCCCGAGATACCAAGAATTCAAGACCTCGGTGCCTTCCGCCGTGCCCTGAAGACCTTTCTTTTTCAGCAAGCCGGGCTGGCTTAACACTTTTTTAAAAATGTTTTTAATACCTTTGCTATTGTTCTTTTAATTTTGGGGCCAAACATATATATATATCTTTTTAAATTGGTTTTAATGTTTGTATTTATGTTTTTACTTTGGCTGTACACCGCCCTGAGTCCTTCAGGAGAAGGGCGTTATATAAATTTGAAAAATAAATAAATAAATAAATGCAGAGATATTGCAAATCAAGTACAAATTTGCAACTTGCTGTACACTTACTTGGATATAAATCCTTCAAAACTCAATTGGTATATCCATAAATTACCACACATGGGATTGTACAATCTGATTTGTAGTAGCCTAATTTAACTACATAGTTTAACAAGATTTAAATGTGGGTGTGTTTCTATTGCTCTACTTGGCATTACTGTATTAGTTACCACCATCTACTCTTAGTTATTTCTTATTTATTTCTTATTTATTTATATCCTTCTTGATATGCACTTATAATGGATTTTTCAATGTAATCATGAAAATGTATGACAGTTCAATCATTCTACTTTAGAGATTCATACACAAGCAACCACTCTACTCTATTTCTTCATTCAGTTTGCCAATTTACTTCCTGAAACTCAAACCATAATTACTAGTTTTTGTTTTTACTAAACTTCACTACATGAATTCTATAATGCAGAAAAAAAAAATGTCCAAAATTTTATCTAAGATATATTGCCTCTTCCCTCATGTACATTCAAGTAATATAGTCAGACCTCAACCAAACATAAAGTTACTCATAATTTAATAAGGCACTCTTAAAATAAAAGGACTTGAGCCATGCCTATCTTATTTCAATACACCAATACATTTTTCTGTGAACTGAAGGTTGTGTCTGAAATTAGCCATATCAAACTACGTTATGCTTTCAGAGGCTTTATTCAGGAATCAATTTATCCTCTCTTTGAAGTTGTAATATTAAGTATCCCTGGGCCTTTCTACATAATCACCAATTAGTACAACTACTAAAAGTAGTTAGGCTAGAGTTAAAGGAACTGGGCTACAAAGAAGAAAAACCTCTAGCTCTCCTTATCATTTCATAGTTGTGTATTTTGTATCTGGAACTGGTAGAAGTTAGCTAATTTACCACGGGGTATATATATAAATATATTTAGCCCTTGAAAGTAAATAATACTTTTACACTTCAAAGCATTCCATTTGTCAGGAAAAGTTCCAGTCTTTCATTGGCATAGAGTTGTGGATGTGAAGTACTGTGTTTAATATGATTATGCAAATTACAGCATCACTAACTTTGGAACAGTACCCATGAAACTACCTGGGTGACTCTGCTTGTGCCATTTTGTAAGCTTTTCTTTTTAACTTTACCAAGTAAATTATTCTTTATTAAAAAAAAAAAAAAGAATATCAGCTCTTTGCAGACACACCCATAACTAGCAAGGCCCTGACCACCTTACTCGCACCAGATTACTGATGGGTATTATTGCCTTAGAATCAGGGCCTACTTTGATCGTTTGAAACTATCTGCCCTTTCGCAATATTTGTCTCCATTCTCCCCTTTTTTTTTCCCTATGTGATTTTTCCCTCGTTGTCCTTCAAACGACAGCAGCCAGACCCCCTCCCCCCCCCGAACCTCGCGACTTCGCTACGATGTTGCCATAGTGACCCCAGGCAAGTCACGTGCCACCGTGCGTGACTTGTCCGTTCCGTCTCCTTCCGTGCTACAGCAACTCCGGGACCCAAGTCGTGACGTTACCATGCCAACTCCCAATCCCACACTGCAGCCTGACCTGAGAATGCGGTTGGGACGCCGCGGATCTGCCATACTGTTGCTAGACATCCCACTGTGCCGCGGGCTACAGTACTGTGCTGAGAGCGACCTCCTTTCGAGGCTGCAGCAACTTCCGCTTCCTTTCAGCGCCGCAGGGGGGGTGACTAAGAGTGTAACACCCCCGAGTTTAGGCGCTTTTGTTCCGGCCTATGAGTCCACGCTTATGTTGACACTGGAAAGGCCTTGCAACTGAAATTTCTGGAGGAGGAGGAGAAGGAGGAAGAATGTTGTAGCCCTTCCCTTCTCGCTTGAAGAAATTATGCCGAGAGGGGGTGGAACCAATGAAACTAGATTGGAGGAGTAAATGGACGAGTCGACGCCTGCATTTCCCTATAATCTTTCTTGCTATTTCGTAAGTAAAAGCTGCAAGAGGTTACTAAGAAATGTGAGCTATTTTCCCACATGCATAGTTCCATGATTCGAAGAGGAGACGGCGGGCGGGTAGGAGAGAGGTTTAATTTCAATAACTGGCCTCTTATACAGAGACAGCATTTGACCTTTGAAAGGATCCCTGGTACAACCTACCCACCCACCCAACCTCTTCTTCTGCCTGATAAAAACTCCATTTGACTATCCGGAGATTCTCCCATCTAGTAGCATCATCTACTACAGACCTGCAGATCTGGGCTGCGAGAGTCCGACCCTCATTTGATGGAAACCCAAAGGTGCTTTTTTCAAGAGGCAACTGGACTTTCTTGTTTTTCTTTGAAGACGTTTTGCTTCTCATCCAAGAAGCTTCTTCAGCTCTGGCAGGATAATATGGGGTGGGGGGGGGGGGGAAGCACCTTTGGGACAACCATGACCTGGATGACTGAGAATCTCCATAGACATTTGATAGAAACAAAAATGAAATTTGGCTAGATCATTGCTGCCAACTAGTGGTTGTCCCGTTGTTTGTAGTCCTAATCAAATATCAAGACCAATGTTTTCTTCTCCTCCCTGCTTCTCCTTTATCCTGAATTTTTGGTCATTTTGCCTGATACGTTTCGGACGTTAAAAAGCTTGTGGTTTCAACTTAGAACAGTTCATTTAGTGACCTTTTTAAGTTACAATATCACTGAAAAAAGTGACTTATGACCATTTTTCACATTTATGGCCATTGCAGCATTCCCATGGTCATGTGACCAAGATTTGGATGCTTGGCAACTGGTTCATGTTTATGACAGTTGCAGTGTCCCCCAGATCTTGTGAACACCTTTTGCAACCTTCTGACAAGCAAAGTCAATGGGGAAGCCAGATTCACTTAACAACCGGGTTATTAATTTAACAACCAATGATTCACTTAACAATTGTGGCAAGCAAAGTTGTAAAATTGGGCAAAACTCACTTAACAGATGTCTCACTGAGCAACATAAATTTTGGGCTCAATTATGGTTGTAAGTCGGAGACTACTTGTACAGCTGCTGTGTAATAAAGGCACCATAAAATACAATTAAGTTTTAGTTTAATGCCTAAAGAAGTAAAGCTGAAAGGTTTTGAAGGAAGAGACCTTTCTTTCTTAGCAGACTTTCTGAAAGTTTAAAGTGCCCTAGGTATGCTTAAGCAAGATAGACTTTTAAAGATAAGTGGTGTGAAATCGGAGGATGCTGACAGCCTTCTCAAGAAGACTGTCATGTTGTTATTCAGCAGCTTCCCAAATAGATGTTTTACATACAATACAGGAAGATATTTATGTTGCTTCAGCAGAGCAAATGTAGAGTACGTTTGACTTGATTTAGTAAGTAGCCATTGACTGAAGTACAGTAATCTATTTTGATATGTTATTTTTGAAACAAAATTGATTGCTCAAAAAGAGATTGCAACTGACAAATATTTTCTATGTGTCTTCTATTTTGCAATAAGGTAATGCAATTCGGGAGGCAACAAGTACCCAGAAGCAACATCACCTAATGCATCAGTCTGCCTTAGGCTATTCCTGATTCTAGAGATTTTGCTGTGGAGGTTCAGTATTATGCATGTGGATTTAATTTAGCAATCAAGCTACATCTATGTGATGGCCTTTCCAGAACCCAAATCCAAGAAACCTGAGCTTCCCAAAAAATTGCTTGGTATATTAGAATGTAAACAAGGAGCTATAAGAGCAGTGAGATTCAATGGTGAGTGTATTTCTGATTCCATAAAATAGAATAAAATAAAATAAAGGCTTTCAGTTATTAGAACTAGAGAAAACTCAGAAGCAAATTTATATAGAATTAATAGTGTAGAACTATAAGCTTTTAGTAACTTGTGAATGGATCAAGGCAACAGTTGTAAGGATTATGAAAAGATAGCTAGTGAGAGATGTGACTTGTTGGGTCAAAAAGTTTGAAATTGCAAAATGAATAGTGGAATTTGCATCATTCTAAGCGAAATGAAACTGACAGACTTCCAGGGATTCCCTGAATTTACTCAACTAGATAACATTAAATGAGACTTTTCTTTTTCTCAGTGGATGGAAATTACTGTCTCACCTGTGGCAGTGACAAATCACTCAAGCTTTGGAACCCACACAAAGGGACTCTCCTCAAGACATATTGTGGCCATGGCTATGAAGTCCTAGATGCTGCAGGGTAGGAACTAGGGGAGGTGGATCCACTTTATTTTTAAAAAATCCAACTATTTTGAAAACACTGAAATACTTTAAGAAAGTTTAAAATAACTGGATTATATGTAAAATTCTATAATGAAATAAAAATAAATGAAAAATATTGACATAACTATAATGAACTTAACAAAACTAATTTATCTGAAAAATTACTATGACATTAAAAATTTAAATTAAAGTATTACTCTTATGTAAAAGTGTGTTTCTGTAAAGTTTGAGTAAGGAAAAAAAAACTACAGTAATTGCCAGGGAAATTCTATTCATGTTCATATTTTAAAATCTTGTCCACTCATTTAAACCTTTTTTGCTATTAAAATGACAAAAAACTTACATTTAAAAAACTGAGAAGCTCAATATATATGCTACACTTACACATTACAGTTGAAAATTTGCATATACAGCTTTTAAAAAGAAAAGTACTCTTTATTTAGATGCTAAAGAAAATTATTTCTCTTGCTTTTCCTACTCCCCTCTTTATCTGTGTTTTTCTTAGATCATTTGATAACAGCCAACTTTGTTCATGTGGAGCAGACAAAACAGTTGTGCTGTGGGATGTTGCCACAGGCCAAGTGATTCGCAAGTTCCGTGGCCATGCAGGGGTAAGATCTATTTTGTCCTTTGGGATGCTTGGAAAATTAGAAGATTTATGTCTTTTTGAAATATGAATTCCTCTGAGTTTCTACCTTAGAGGTTAACAGTTATGTGTTCTGCTTCTGAGAGCATCGGAATCCCTGTTCTAGTGGACAGAAACCCCTACGAAATATAAAATGTTTATAATGGGAGATAAAAAAACTGGATGAAACTCAGAATTCTCTGGGATAAGTCAGAAATGTTACTGGAGACATGGATAAGGAAAACAAGATTATAGAAACAGAATTGTAATTCTCGGATTAAAAAATACAAAACACTAGTTGATTTGCTGAATAAGGAATTATTGGTCTTGTACATTAGAAATGGAGGAGAAAGACTCTATGTCTCATAGTGAGTTTGCTTAGAATATCTGCCCCAATAGCTTCCGTATTTCAACATATTCTTCCAAAGAAACTTTACAAAAAAAGAGGAACCTTTATAAAGTGCAATCATTTGCTTGTTCAGCAATTATGCATACCATAAACTGCATCTGTATGTACTGTATTTCCCCGAAAATAAGACCCTGTCTTATATTTTTTTGAACCCTGAAATGAGTGCTTGGCCTTATTGCCATGCGCTCAAAAGCCTGATTGGGCTTATTATCAGGGGACTTATATGGACTGTCATACAGTGAGCCAATGCTGTAAAGTGTAAGCCTCAGGATGGCCTTTAGGATTAAGGATCAACATGAATTTTTTTCACAAGTAGCTTCAGTGATCTTGCATTTTTTGAGGGGAGGTTGAGTTAGGGTTAGTTGAGATTCTAAGTAAGGAATTGTGAGTTCAGTAGCACATCTGCTATGAGGCAAACAGATGTTGTCTTTGTCATGTGCCTCCAGAAGTAATTAGCCTGTTGTAGTATTCTGATTTGGGAATATTATTATGACAGTTTATTGACTGTTCTTTTCATGAGCAGAGTTAAATGGAATATTATTTTAATTTCTGCTCAGTACACTTGTGTTTGTATCTTATTGGAAAAAATGTAAACCCAATAAATATACCTATGCACAGCTGATACTAAGGTCTCTGGTTGAGGATTATAGTGAGTGGCAATAAGTAGGAGTGATAAAAAATTGTACCGTGGTACTGATGAAGAGAGTATTTAATAAAAAGTATAATGCCTAATAGTTATGAAACTGCTAGGTTTGACTAGCTGTGGTGAGGGATGGAACTATGGCTGTACAAACATTTGAAGGATGTGTTACAAAAAATATAGATGTGAACAAAGCATCCCTCCTTGAAATCGTTTTGGAGCACATACAGACAAAATTCTACTGGGTCTGTTGGCAAAACAAAATACTGGTACCTCTATATGACATACACACAGTGACAACCAAAAAAAGATGCTTAAGCAGTCATAGTGAGCTTTCTAGTAGATATGGTTGCCTCAGCAGTTTGAAAAATAATGTTTCACTCCTGCTAACACATTTTGCTTCAAATACTTTGCACAGCTATTGATGAAATAATAATGGAGATTAATGTATGGAATTCCAGCTACTGCCAGAGTTTGCAATAGTTTAAGTGTTGAAGGACAAGGGAATGGGAAAAATAATGCAGACTTGTACACTCTCTCCAAGCTCAGCTCCCATAAATGGAAAGTTAAACATAAATTGAGAACAATAGCAAGTCCTAATCTTTTTATATTCCCTTTTTTTCAACTGAACAGAAGGTGAATTGTGTCCAGTTCAATGAGGAGGCCACTGTAATTCTTTCAGGTAAGAAATCTCCTTACCTTCTATGTTGCTTCTAGATTGTTCATCCTAGCCTTTATTTAGCATGGATCTTTACCTTCCTGCAGGTTCCATTGACTCCAGTGTCCGTTGCTGGGATTGTCGTTCTCGCAGACCAGATCCAATCCAAATCTTGGATGAAGCCAAAGATGGCATCTCCAGTCTGAAAGTCTCAGACTATGAAATTCTTACAGGGTAAAAGAGGATAGGATGAAGTTTGAATTGGAAAAGGCAAATTTGGTGCTTTGCTAAAGTAGATTATTTTAGAGAAGGGGTTAAATATTCTCAACTTTTCCATATCTGTTTTTAATTTAAAAAAAATAACTTTTCCCCCTTTTGGAACAGAATCTAAAATCATGTGTTAATTTTTGCTAAAATATGAGAAAATGAACAAACGTGTACAACTGTACTGGAAATTTTCATAATTCCATAATCCAAACTCACTCATAGCAAGTCTTATGGTTGTTGTTGTTAGTTGCTAAATCGTGTCTGACCCATCGAGACCCCATGGACAACATTCCTCCAGGCCTTCCTGTCCTCTACCATCCTCTGGAGTCCATTTAAACTCACGCTCACTGCTTCAGTGACTCCATCCCGCCACCTCATTTTGAGAACAGATATTTTTGAAGTGTATAGTTTGCGACTTCAGGATCAGAGTATTCTCTTAACAATGTTGCTCTGTTGTTTCCCAGTTCTGTGGATGGACGTGTCCGACGTTATGACCTCCGTGCTGGAGAACTCTGCGCAGACTACATTGGAAGTAAGTTCATATATGGAATATCCAATAAACTGCTGAAGTGAGAACCATATTTTTGAAGATGTCACTTTGTTGTGGGATATGGTGCCTTTAGTTGTCTTGTGCTTGATAAATAACTCATTTTTTTTCATCTTCTGTTTGGTAGACTTCTGTCGGCTTCAAACTGAAAAGTGTCTGCAAGGACATCAATTGTATCTTCAGGCTTGCATCCACATTTGATGATTATGCACTATCAATTCATATAATAATTGTCACTGTTGACTCATTGATTTTCTCCATGATATATCGATATATTCTTAGACAGTAGATAGCAGTACTTGGCATAATACTTACAAGGCACTATACCTTCCTTATTTCTTTTTGAATAGGTTCTTTCCTCTTCATGCACATAGACCCTTGTATCTACTGCATGAAGCAATAACATCCAACATTGCCATGTTTTCATTATAGGTCCCATTACCTGTGTATGTTTCAGCAAGGATGGGCAATGTACACTGGCTGCTAGCTTGGATTCTACACTGCGATTGCTGGACAAGGATACAGGCGAGCTACTAGGAGAGTAAGCAAATACTTTTCATTGTTAACTGTAATGCTTCCTTTAGCACAAGGCTGTCAAACATGCGAGATGGATGCGTCACACGCTGTCCACGCCCAGTTTAGCGAAGGGGAAAAAAGTCACGATACGTCACATGATACTGCCGTGATGACGCAAGCTTGACATCCCTGCTTTAGCAGTTAGATTAAGGTTGACTCCAGCTTTTCCCAGTACAGAAGTATAAGTGCATGCTGAAGAGCAAGATGCAATTGCTTTAAATACACATAAATATTTTATACACGTATAGACATTTCCCTTAATTATTGAGTTAAAGAAAAATGTATTTATGTAATAGATTTTAATGTATATATGAAAGATCTTCTGTGGCTATGAATAAGTTTGTGTTAAATTTTGTAATGGTGTCCTTTTTTAATTAACTTTCTATTCACCCAAGGACTGGTAGCAGCTTCAGGCAGCTTGATGGGGAAACATCTTCCAAGATGGCCAAGAATAATCTCCTTTTTCTCCCAATTGTATCTCCAGCTACACAGGCCACAAGAATGTAACTTACAAGATGGACTGCTGCCTGAGTGAAAGAGACACACATATTGGGAGCTGCTCAGAAGATGGAAAAGTCTATTTCTGGGATCTGGTTGAGGTAAACAGGATTGGCTGGGAAAATCAAGAGCTTTCCTTTGAGGTAGTCATTTGACTTTTTGGTCAGCCAATCACTGGGGTGTAACCAAAATTCTACTTGGTTGGAGAAGACAGTTTTTTTCTGGAAATAAAGCAAGCCACCTTCTTCTTTTCCCAGCACCCATCAATGATTAGTAGGAAACAGACATCTAAATTGGGAACAGAAATAGCAGTTGTTTTTATTGGTTTGTTTCATTTGGTCTTACTTAGTGGTTTAAATGGATCTACTTATAATATAATCAGGACAGTAGCAGCATCAATGCAGGTTTTTAATCTAAGAGGTAAATGACACTTGACATAAGTGATCTAGGTATTATATTTGAAGTTCATGTGTCAAGCATTTCTATGCAAGTTTATTTGGCTTGAAGCTAAGTGCCTGGCTTATATTTGTAAAAGGTGAACACTGTTTATTTCTCTTCTTGAGTTAGGTAGCATTTCTTTCAATTCAGATTATCAAATGAGGACAATTTCTTCTTAATATTATTCATATGAAATAACTGGCCTTGCTAGTGGTTTATATGTCCTAATCCCTTGTTCAATTTTCTTCTCTAAGATCATGCTGGTTAATGAGAGGACATTGTCACAAGCAGTCCTGCAAGTCAGATTTTGTGCAAATAATGTATCTGTAGGTAATCTCTGTCCTCTGTAGGTTTTGTGATCAATGTAGCTACATTTTGTCCTTTTCCCTCCCATAGGGCTCCCTTGTTCTGGCCTTGCCAGTGTGCAATACTGCTGTCCAGTCACTGTCCTTCCACCCAGTTGAAACCTGCCTACTCACTGCTGCAGGGGGTCTTGTTCAGTGTTGGAGGGAAGAATCTTACACAGCTGAGGAAGGTGTGCCTGCATGACTAACATTGCCTTTGTGACTGCGTTGAGCAAGACTGAAGATACAGGATGATGGATCTCTCTAGTGCATTTCTCTTACAGTTCTATGAGTACAGTTGTATGTACTTTGCTTTCAGGAGGAAGGATGGAGCATAATTTGAACTCTGCTTCTTCTGTAGAGCCAGCCTGACTGAAAGCTGCCCTTGACCTTTCAGGGCTCAAAAGTTTCCTTGCTTTAAGTGACAGTATTTTTAAATTCAGCCTATGTATTACAGACAGTCAAGTAAAAAGTTCATTTTTAAAAATTGGGTGTTTCTGGATTAGAAAGAAATAGAGTTTAAATGGTACGTGGACATTGTTTTATTGTAAGTTTTTGCGGCTCAGATGCTTAAACTTCATAAACACTAGCCCTGATCTTCACTTGGACAAATACATTAATTGAAATTGTCACTGCAAAAAAATAAAGTAATCTTGAGAAGAAAATATAAGTTTTTTACTCTTAGCTGTTCACCTGTTTAAAATAACAGGAAAAATATTTTGATTGCTGATGTTCAGAAGTGCTCAGACCTTGTTGGTCACATCTGCTTGGTTAGTGAACTACTACATGCATGTCTTTAATTTTACATCTGAATAGAAAAAATGCCGCAATGTTACAGATTGTTAATGACAGTTATTGAAGAAAATGTTTTTAGATTTAGATTTAGATTTAGATTTTATTGAACTTCTATACCGCCCTTCTCCCAAAGGACTCAGGGCGGTGTACAGCCATATTAAAACACATATAAACCACAAAATTTAAGAACAATTTAAAAACAAATATATAAAATTTGGCCCACAAAATTAAAAACTAACAAACACCCAATTTAAAAATTCCTATTAGGCCTGCCCGGCTTGTTGGAATAAAAGTCTTCAGGGCACGGCGAAAGGTACGCAGGTCAGGGATCATACGAACCTCTAGGGGCAGCTCATTCCAGAGGGCTCATTCCAGAGGGCTAGTGCCCCCACAGAGAAGGCTCTCCCCCTTTTAAAAGGCTGTTGTCCAGGAAAATTTAAATGTTAACTTGAACTTTTCTAGGGAGCTCATCCTCCTTCGATATAAATATAGTATTTTTTAAATTGGATGCTTATGAGTTCAAAATTAAAAAGGTTACGTATATACTCTGCGTCAGTGTGGAATTCAGGCTGAACCCCGGAAATGGAAGAGAATAGTATGAACAGATCAAGTTACTATTTTCTCGGGAGTGTATTTACTACCCTTGAATTCAAACAACTGAAGCCAGAATTGTATAGGTGCTAAATAAATTAAAATTCTCCTCCCAGAATTACTACATTTTAAGACTTGCACCAGTTATGTATAAATAAGTGGAAACATATTTTTTTTTATTGTGGGAATGTATCACATAGCATCTAGAAGTATCTCCTATGTTTTAGAAGTCCACTCAGTTGCTTAATTCTATTGTTACATATTCAATGAGAAGACAGATCTCTTTCCCTAAGTATTTTAAGTCATTAAAATAGATTGAATCGGTTTTTTCTTTTGTTGTTCAGATCCAAGATGCTTTTCTATAGAAATAAAAATGAAATTATAAGAAATAGATGTGTTCTTATTGAAGTGTTCAAATCTCATATTCATGCCACTCACTGTTGCTCGAAAAGTAATTAGAAAAAACTGATTTTAAAGAAACCAGCCCAGCAACTTAAGATCAATAAAATATTTCTGTTTCAGTTATTGTGGTTGCTGTAATAAAAAAGACTTCAAGAATCAAACATTCAGTCTTCCTTAATTTCATGCCTTTAAAATCCATTGGATTTACAACCGTTACCATCCCCAGATAGCATGACTAATCTGAAAGGCACCAGTTGAGGAAAGCCAATAGAAAAAAACCTGCAAAGTGCAAAAGTATGCATTGCATCAACATTGCAACACTACTACATCTAGATACCTTAACGCTAAATAAAATTTATACGCTTTACTCCTGATAAAATGATGAACAAAATGCAGCAATCAACTGTGGTTCTGGGTGAGATAGAAAATTCTACTTTGTGATTGTCTTCTTTCATAAATAAGATTTTTTTCTTCTGTTCAATGAAGAGTTGTAGACTGCCTAGAGAAATCCCTGCATTTTCTTGGCAAGATTTGCCCTGCTTCTTTCCTAGACCTGAATGAAAGTAACTAGCCCAAGGTCACTCAGCTGCCTTTGTGTCTTAAGACAGGACTAGAATTCATAGTCTTGAGTTCTAGATAGATACTTTAATCACTACACCAAACTGGCTCTCATAAAAATCAGATTACTGCGTAGAAAATATTAAATGCCCTCTAAAGCTGTTCTCTTGACATTTTTTCATATGGAATATATTTTCCAACTCTACATTTAAAAAAAAGGTTACTTGCTTAAATAAGCTTCATAGTTATGTAAGGAACCATCTCCGGGTTGCTCATATTCTACTAAATTTCTACAGTTAATGCCACAGATTTGTTCTTATGAATCCTAGTAGACAGCTGAATAGAGGGATGGCATGAAATCAGATTTTCTCAACTGAGCAATTTAGTCATTGCATCATATCCTGTGGCATCATGTGTTCTCCCATATTGTTTAAACTGACTTTACAGGTTTGGAAACCAAAACTCTCTGTTGCTGAGTTAGTGCATGATACACAAAGGATTACTTGGAACACAAGATAGTAGTAGGTGTGGCAGGGACAGCAGGCATTCAATTAATCTGTAATTATTCCCTCCACTGCATAGTCATGGTAGCAGAACTTCTATGCGGTTTGTTTTGGTGTCTCGGAATAGTCAGATTAAGCAAAGAAATCAGGTGAAATCATCGCATTCAGTTTCTCATGTCATGAAAATGGCACAGAACAGTGATATAACTAGTAATCAGTATCGTCTGGAAGGACTGAATTCAGTTTATCTCAGTGCTTTGGCCCCCTAATGCTGCACTATGGCTCAAATAATATAAGTTAATGGCAAGTGTGCTGAGGAGCAATGGGCCTTTTGAAGTCAATTTGATCAAGAGTCCTGTAACATGGAAACTGGTATCAGTCTAAGATTTTGTAGAGAGTAGGAAATCACACCTTATTCAGGTCCTTTAACTTGACTCTTCATTTAACGCCAGACAGATGAAGTAATCAAGAGCAAGAAAAGTACAGTTAATTATGAGGATTTAGATCTGCTGTTTACACCCCCAGCAAATGCTATTACCAGGCAGTTATTTTGATATGTACATGCTAAAAGCATTCAAAAGAATCCAAGATCATTGAAGAGATGAAGACAACAGAGTAGAAGCAAAGATTAAAATGGTGGTAGTTTTAGTTTAGAACGAGAGCATCCAACCTTTGCAACTTTTAAGTCCTGTAGACTTCAACTCCCAGAATTCCTCAGCCCAGCCATATCAGTTAGGATAGGGCAGAAAATGGCTAGTTATTAGAAATCTTTTTTAACCTTGAAATAGAAATTCTAGCACTGACAATGTTACCTAGTTTGGGTAATGAAATGTCTGCAAGAAAACAGGGTCAGAGAACACCAAGGACCTCCTCATAGAAATTCTTGTAATATTTTCTGCCTCCAGTGTGAAAAATGGCTCAGCTAAACTTGAATAATAGTACTTTGATTTATGGAAAAATAACAGCTGTCATTCTACACAGGCAGCAATGATTTTAGATTGTTGGTAAACTAGAGTCCAGAGCATTAGGATTCCAATACCAATTTTGTCATTCTGGGGTAAATCTTGTTAAAGAGATAAATTTTTAAAAGAGTTAAATGCTTGATCTGTAAGATTATTAAGAGAACGAAAAGCAATACATTTTTCAGAAGACACCAGTTCAAAACCGTACTTTCCTAAAGATAAGTTCTTTCATCTGATAACCAAGATGGTGTTTGAAACATTATAATGCTATTTATCTTCTGTGCCAGCATTTCCCCACTCAGGATTTTGATATCAGCAATCAGCTGATTGTAATTGAAGATGCCAATCATTAGAACAGCTGTTGGCTGAGGATGGATCACAGAATATGCCGGTAGGTTACATATGTTCATAAGTCTTCTAGGAATGAAGGTTTGACAGAAGCAACAGATTTCTTATTTAAAGACCCACATGAAAAAAACACTGGCTATTGTAAGATATGGATTAAGAAGCAAAGACTTCATGGGTAAAAATACCGAGTATATTTCCTAACGCTTGGATTGATTGGCTCAAATTTTTTTTCCTTTTGGGGAGAGAGAAAAATGCTGTCAAGGCAGAACAGGATTTCAGGGGAAGATAGCGCATTGAAGAAGTTTCAGCAAAACCCTGGAAATTGTAGTCATTTATAAGGAGTTGGATAGTAGTTCAGCTCCTACGATCCTCTCTGGATAAGAGAGAAATGTCAGATCACCCAAGCTGTTTCTCCTTATTGTTGCTCCTTACAAAGAGACTGCAAGACAGCAGATTCTGAAAGGGGGAAAATTGGCAGATGGTTCACCATAAGTATGGTAGCTGCAAATGGAATGGTTCAAAGGCACTAAGTTTGTGCACTTCCCTTGCTAACCATCTTTGAAAATTACTCATTAACTCATTCAAGGAAGTTAGATGTCTTCAAAGTGACAAGCCTGGAAAAATCTGGTGAGTGCCTTCAATCTCTAATATAAGAAAATGAAATTTATATTTATAATTTTAAAGAATTTAACAACAAAAAAGGCAATGTTTTGGCTACAGAAAGTTTTAAATGGACTAAAGGGCTCAGAAAATGTTGGAATATTGGATTTTGAGGATGAAGTCTTCAAAATTATTTTTAAAGAGGAAATGTATGTTTGTGAAAAATAATTTATTATGGTATTTAAGGATATATTTGAGCAACTCCATCAGGAATTGCACTGAGACTTTGAATTAATTATGTCAGCTATGTTGTGTCTTTTGGGGAACAGGCTATCTCCAGAAGATGTTACAGAACTAGATATTTATTTTATTTTAAAATTTTAAAAATTTCACCTTTATTATTTTAATTCAAGACAGTGAATATGCCTAATACGCCTCCTATCTCTTTTCTCCAAAACAACCATCTGAGTTGAGTTGACCTGAGAGACAGAATGATTGGCCCAAAGTCACTCACCCTATGATTTTGCAACAAATATATTTAGATATACAATAAGCTCCACTTGAGAACAATATGAGTGAAACTCCAAATAAAAATTTGCCATTAGATGTAAAGAGAAAATTGTGGGAAGCTTTAAAAATTATGAAGGAAAAAAATGACAATCCTAGGGAGCAATTGGAATAATACTTTTTTAATATTTTTTTGCTGGATTTATAAGAGACTGCTTAAAAATATTCAAGAACTTCGTAGTAAGGATCAAAAACTATTGACCAGGATTAAAATGGGACACGCTGTCATTTTGGGCGGCTCTGTTTGTATGTACTGATGACTGGAAAAATGTGATATACTAGGTTAGCTTATATAGTGTTTAAACATTAACTATATAGCCATTTTTTGTATCCTAAATTTTTAACATTTAAACACTTTGTATCTAATATGTGGATTTATTTTTTAAAAGAAAATGTCTTTTTGTTATGTTAAACTCTAGTTGTTTGTTTATATTAGGATGCTGGGAATACTTTATTTTGTTAATAGTTTAGAATTGAGATATGGAATGTTTATTTGAAATGATATATTGCTATTTTGGGCTGGTTCCCTCTGGAATTGTTGGCATTTGAAATGGGAGAAATATTGGAGTTTGTCTTAAAAAATAAATGGCCTCTTTTTCTAATATTAAACATTAGGCTTTGTTTATTGACACCAGGATATTGAGATCTTTTTATGTCTTTTAAATGGGATTTTGCTTACAGCTAAGAGATGAGATATGGAAAGTTAAGTTTTATATATGTTAACATTTTAGAGCTCTAAACTTTTTCTTGATAATTGAATAAAGAGATGTAACTTATTTGATTTGCTTGGGGTTTTATGGGATGAAGAGTTTGATACTTATTAATTAAGAGAAGGTGAAGAGATTATGAAACTTTATATTTGTCATGATAGTGGAAAGTTGTTTTCTAAAAGGGGATCTTTTTAGTTTTTTGTTTTCTTGCACTAAATTTATTTCTTTTCTTTTTTCCTTTAAGCTTTTATTGTTCTTTTTATTTTTTTGATAACATTATGAAAAATAGCAGAACAATAACCAGGAAAAACAAGATTGCAGCACCAAAGAAACAAGGATAAACATACAAAACATTCATTTTTCCCCTTCCAGACAGATCTATTAATGAGAAAGAGGAACAGGAAGAGAAAGAGAAAGATTAACAAGCCACATCACTAGGAATCATTAGTTACTTTTTCTCTCAAATTCTGATTAATATATTCTGCTGCTTACCAAGATTGTGTTTCTTCTCTCAGATATATTCTGTTTGTAATAAGAACAAGATATTCATTGGAACAATTATACAAAGTAGGCATCATCTAACACACCACAATAGACCTAATAACTCATCAAAGATTTTACCCAAAGGTTCTTGAGATATAGTATAAACTTCTAGTCCCAACTGTTCTAGACAATCAAACTTTTGAATTATTTGATAAAAGCTCAGAATGAAAGATGACTGTGAGGTTTTTAAGATCCCTCATTCTAAGCAGTGGTGGATTTTGTAATGGAATGTGCAGATGACTTTGAGGAAAGAGGCTGCCTAGGAAACAAGTAGACAAGAATGCCTTAACAGTCAGAGAAAGAAACTTAGGAAGGACCCAACCGAATGGACCAAGCAGTTAAAAGTAGCGACAGGAAGTTTATACTTTCA